CCAGGCCTAGTGGACAGTTTTTAACATTAATTAAAACTATAAATAAAAACATTTGTGCATTTCAGCTTTGAAGGAAAACATTTTAAAACGTCTTAACTTATTGCCATGACTAACAATTATTTATTTTTTACAGATGGCTCTACTTCCCCTACTGTGTCTTTTGTGCGTCTTCTCGCAGGTAAAAACTAATTTTTTTTAGTGTATGTATATAATAAATTTATATATATATATATATTAGTTTTTTTCTAATATAAAAAATTATTTAATAGATCCAGGGTCAAGGGTTCGTCCCTTACGGCACCCACGCGCCCCTCCCAGTCGTTACTCCAACAACTTCTACAGTCACTGTTCAGGTACGTAATATTTTATTTATATACATATATACATGTGACTTTTAAACTGACTGTCTGCATAACTTGACTTATTCTCCCTGCAGACAACCCTGACCCACACTCTGCGCGAGACGACGACCTCTGACGTGTGGGTTACAGAGCAGACGGCGATCACCCTGACAGTTACCCAGACAACCACCCAATGGGACTTTGTTCCCCAGTATCCACAGACGGTGACCTCTGTGATAAGGGTCACCTCCACACCGGTAGTGGTTGAGACGGCTACGGTGGGGGTCAACCCAGTGAGCACAATGGTGTCCATCTACAGTCAGTTCGTCACCACCACAGATACTGTTAAATACTGGCAGACCATAACCCACGTCGCTGTCACTCACGAGGTAAGATAGTGCCAATAATTATATCCTGTGAGGCTACAGTTTATCTACTGCCTGGGATCGGTCGTATATTTAACCGTTTTATCTGATTGCAGGTCCAGACGGTGCCTGTGGTAACTACTCAAGAATTGCTGCAGGAGATAGTAACTACGGTCACCCAGATAGTAACGACTACGGTTACCTCCACTACTGCCAGATATTATGCATAATGTACACTATGAAATTTACTTCAGTTTTGTACAAAATAAATGTTTTGAAGATTACGTAATGGATTTCAATTTAAAAATTTAGACTTAAAATGGAATGTCTCCAGAGCACCAATTTCGAATCCATTAATTATCGGATAAATATTGCTAGCAAGGCTTCTAAATTAAAAAGCCTGAAAAATTGGTGTCAAACTTTTCTAGTACATTTAGTCTGTAAAGAGTTTAGGCCATGAGATTTGATGCAGCCTCGGCAACTTTGCCGCCAATGATGGTGTAGAGTATTTTGGGGATCTATCCTGTGCCTCTCCATAGTCATTCTTCTATGCCTCTAAAATCGGGGAAGGGTGACCTAATTTGATAAAGATTGTCATTGGCTAGAGTATTAAACTCTAGATCAAAGTGTTTTACATAACTGAATTGGACCGAATAAAGCTTCCGAAGATAATTGGCCTATACGTTTCCCCTTATAGCAAAGGTAGAGGGGCAAACGTTTGTAGACTGTTAAGCTAGGAAGCAAATGCCTAGAAAAGTAAATTCGGTCTTGAACCGCACAAGTATAAAAAAGTACACTGGAAAGTCTCTAACCCCATATTTGTTAGATAATGGTACATAAAACGTAGAAACTAATAATTAAAACACAAAAAAAATAATGTAATAGACTATAAAATGACACTCCTGCTGAGACTATTTAGGACTCGTTGTGATCCTCCCAGTCTGACTGAATAATTCTCTAGCGGCCGATGTTTACCCAACAGTAAAATGGGAACCTGGTTCTTAGAAGATTTGAGTGGGGGGGGGGGTCGTATTCCGGGAACATAGGATTAAGGATTTACCCGAAAAGATACCCGTGCTTGTGGTTGTACAAGAATGTAACAACTCTCGTAGATATAAATAAAATATAAATACAGTACACGTCTACGTGATTTGAGGGTGTAGATGCCAGGACTTGATAATTTATTGCCCAACCGGCACGGTATTAAAGATGAATTTTCGTATGCGAAGATTGAGTTCATTGATATTGTGCCCACTGTTAAAAAAAACCAATCGCCACCATTTCCATAGACAATCATAATCAACGCTGAATTAGAAGCTACCTAATAGGAAAAAAATACTCGGTTACTGAGAAGTCTAAAAATGGAAGGTTTTATGCCTGTTAAGTAGCTAGCGTACTTGTGGTCATTTTACATTGTGAATTTGCCAGTACATTATGGATAACCAGGGAAAACTTCAATGTTATAATTATACAAACACAAGGATGACAGTCTGGACATGAAACAAAAATCCAATTGATAGTTGATATTCAACCTACACATCGTTTATGTACGTCCTTAACCATTATTAACTCAAGGACTTGAGAGGGGAAGATTTAGTGATGAAAAGTAGAATGGAGGGAGATGAAGGTAGAGATAAAAGATAAGAGTAAGAGCAGATAAGCTAAAAGGAAGGCAAGAAAGAATATTAAAGTTAGTTATTGAAAGATCGAAGAATATCTTACTGTTCCACGTTAAAACTTGTTTAATCTTCCAGCTTGTCACACAAGTTTGTAAAACTTTTCCTAAGACAAATGTGTGAGAAACGAGAATAATTATTATGAAACGGACGTGGTGTGCGAGAGCGCTCTGAATCTGGGACTTTCATTGAACATGTACAAAATCCTGAAAATAACACAACAAATCTACGTTACATTGTCATATTCACAGAACAGCTAATCTGTAGACGATGAGTAACAAAGTGGCTGAAGATAAAAGATATGAGATTAGTTATGATGACCACGCCCCACACTAAAATATGATGAAGACACGACGTTTCGGTCCGTCAATGAACTTGATAATGGTCCAGGACGGACCGAAACGACGTCGTCTCATTTTCTGGTGTGTGATTTGGTCATCATAAATAATCTCTCATATTGTCTTAATATCTCAGTCACGGAGGGATGTTAGTCCGATTATCAATACTAATAACTTTGATGTTAGCTTTATAGTACCGCTGAAATACCTTATCTTCTAGAGGGGTTGAAGGCAGATAAATAAGATAGTATAAATGTATTGTATAGACATGAATATTATTAGCCTTATGCGTGATCTTTATTAGCCTACTGCTTGAACATTGTGAGTCATCACATTGAACATTGTGAAACGTCTAACAGAATATTGTGAGTCGTCTGATTGAACGTTGTGAGCCTACGTTGATTAAGGAGTATTTACCTTATACAAGTGAACGAAACTCATATTGAGTCATAGCTTGGAACGTTGTCATGTTGACGGTTGTAAAATCAGTTAAACATTTAGGTTAATAAGTCAATATTTGACAAATGCATTGAGATCCAGACAACTTTCTGTTCAGATGATGGGCTGTCAATCTCTTAGCTCTCCTAATGAGACTGTTTAAAGTGTAAAGGTGACTGTATGTTACAGTCAGCGTTAAGGTGATTATACGTGACAGTGTCAAACATATGATATCACACAGTTTGTACCTAGATAACTGTCAATGTTCACCACATTAACCACTAAGATAACTTAGTGATCTATTAGCCTCGTTCTCACTCTAAATTTGATAAATTTTATTATAATTTTATAAATATTTTTAAAATATTACATTATATGTTGCGTGAGGTTCACATTTCTGTACAGAATTACGTGCATTTCTCATCTATTGCAATATAACATATTTCTCTCTTACACAACGCAGGAAGCAGCACGTAGCGGCTGTCTAACTCCCAGGTACCAGGGTAAACAGAGGCATCAATTCAAAGGATCTCTGCCCAAGGCGATGATATGTGACAGTCTATAGCAAGGCAATGATATGCGACTGTGTTAGACATATGATATCTGACAGTTTTTTCCCCAATAGGAAAAGTCAATAGTCAGCACATAATGGCCAATTAGCCTCGTTCACTCGGAATTTGGTAATTGTTTAATAATTGTTTAAATAAATAAAATATTATGTTATGTATTATGATGTCAGCATTACAGCACAGCATTGCGAGCATGTAAGCATGACTTTGTATGTAGCAATGTGTCGTAATATCGAGGTTAGCGACCAGGCCGCTGGTGTGAGGGAGGTGTTGACGTAGGCAGCGGGGACTGGAGTAGTCAGTTGCCTCATGACCTTCACCGAGTTAACATCATCACCTTGTCTACAGTTTAAAGGTTTTTTTCCAGTTTTACTTTTATAATAAATAAATGAATGAATTTAGTTTTTTAAATGGGGATATGGAATAATGTAATGAAAGTAAAGTACACAAGTGTATAATGACTTTCTTACAGATGGCGCTGTTTTCTGCAATTTTGGGAGCGTTGGTGGTGCTTGTCGTCGATGTGTCTTGCCAGTATGGACCAGTTCAAGTAATTAAATATTCAGGTTTCTTATTTGTGGTTCCCAGTGTATAATACATAACGATACTCCCCTATCATTTGGACACCAGCATAATATCCTTTACTCCTTAACATTCATTCAGATTGACAGCCCGTCATCTAAACCAAACTAAATTGGTTAAATATTGACCTCTGATAAATTAATCTAAAAAAAAAAAAACATTCCAATGGTGCATGCAAAACTTGCCAGTTTTAAGTCAACAAAATTGTTAAATCATACGCTCTTTTAATAAAAATAGTAATTTGTGAAATTGCGCACCTAACCACGTTAGGTACGTTAATGATCTAAATAATTTAATCGGTAAAGATTTTAACTACAGAAAGAAAGTTAGGAGTAACACTACATGACCGAACCTGACAAATCTCTATTATACTGTAATTTAAGTTTTCCAACTCTTTTACTACTTGAATTTTAAAGCACATAAATTTTATTTAAATTAGGTTTTATTTTCTCTAACTCAATTTTTACAGGTAGCTGACAGTGGACGGGTCGACAGACCTCTTCTCGGCAACATTATACCTATCGACAGGTTTCCTACCCAAAACAGTGTATTTGGTTCTACCAGTCATCCTGTAGACCTTCAGACCACACAAGGCGGATCGGTGAACTTACCCCGGGTAGTTCTAAGTCAAGCTGCTCCATTTAGATTTTCAAGTCAGTCGGACACTAACTTCCATCAAGGCAGCGGTCAGGCGGCTGGAGCCGTCTTTGGACAGGGTGTAGGTAGTGGTCAGGCGGCTGGCGCCGTCTTTGGACAGGGTGTAGGAAGCGGTCTGGCGGCTGGCGCCATCTTTGGACAGGGTGTAGGAAGCAGTCAGGCGGCTGGAGCCGTCTTTGGACAGGGTGTAGGAAGCGGTCAGGCGGCTGGCGCCGTCTTTGGACAGGGTGTAGGTAGTGGTCAGGCGGCTGGAGCCGTCTTTGGACAGGGTGTAGGAAGCGGTCAGGCGGCTGGAGCCGTCTTTGGACAGGGTGTAGGTAGTGGTCAGGCGGCTGGCGCCGTCTTTGGACAGGGTGTAGGAAGCGGTCAGGCGGCTGGAGCAGTCTTTGGCCAGAACCAAGCTACAGTACTCGGCAGTGGCCGGTTTAACCAGGTCAGTGTTCCTCGCGTGACTATTGGGATCCCTGAAGTTAGGAGAGTGGACGCACTCTTCACCCCAACTGTCACCCAAGTTATCACCATCGACCGCTGCGTCACTGTCACCGACCAGGCCTTCAACAGCGTGGCCGTGACCCTGACTTCCTTCAACGTGCAGACTGTCACCGTGGGAACACGAGCGGTAGGTGGCATCAGTGACAGTTCTAACCGTATGCTGTTAATCCTAGTTAGGAGGCAGATAAATTAAATGTTGCATCTCACAGGTGCTGCAGACGCCCGTCGATGATCGCGTCGCTCTCCAGACATCGGTGTTTGTCCGGCCTGGGACCGTAACATTAACGGAGGTGAAGTCTGACTTCAGGATCGTGACTGAAACTTCCCTAACCCACGTGACCCTCGCCCACACGTCCTACGTTATCAGCCAGTACACCTTCACCACCACGGCCACCCAAGTGTAAGTTAACATTTGTGCATAGTACGTAAGGGTACGTTCTTGGTAAAGATTGTTTTTAAAAATTGACTAGTTCCACTGTACAAATAAAGTCAAACTTCTTAACCTTTATCTCTTCAATCACGGCAGCTGTATGCTTTGAAGTTTAATAATTTTTAAATTTTTAATCAAAGGCCTCGGAACAAATTTATTTTTCTTGTAGACCTTGCAAAAGACTAATTGGTTAATTCCCCTCCCCAATATTGAGGCCTAGACAGACCTGTATCTCTTCCCCCCCCCCCCGTCACACTTTTAATAAATCTACATATCGGTTAGTTGCCTAAAGTTCTTAAAAAATTGACGTCAGTAATGCACTCTTCCTCTCTACTAGTTGAACTAAATTTCCGTAACGTCTATAGATTTAAGTTCACCTCTATAAGTTGATGCTTAAATACTTAACTCAAATCTATATAGCAAGCCTAAAGCTGGGGCCTTTACATTTCAGACAAACATATACGGCGACTTTGGTGCGTACGAACATCAGCACCCAGAGAACTACAGTCACAAACTACCGGACTGTCACCGACACTGTCTTCGTTAACAGCGCCTACGGCTACAGAGCACAGTAGTCCCTTGTACATGACTTTTATATTGATATTACACAAATAATTCCGCAACCTTGTCTTCAATATTTTTATTGCCATCCTTCGGTAACTGGTACCACTCTTTACTTGATAACAAAGTGTTAATTTTTTTACTAAATGCAGCTGGTACTAGTTTGCATAAACTCTCCAGCTCTATAAATTTAACTGTTGGCAGTAGTAAAGTTAATAAATTTCACTAGTGACTCGCAGAATTGATTTCCCGATAACTTGTCCAGTTTATAATTGCTAAAATTTTGTTAAACGTTAGTGTTAACGCTGAAAGTTAATCGCTATTGCAATATTAAAATGCAACAAGAGGTTTTGATCACTCGAAATAATTACTTCCTGCTGAAAATATCGTGTGTAAGAGTGCTTCATTACACGGTCACATTTCTCGTTGGTGTCAGTGTGGTTGATGGCACATTTAATACAGCCTTGGCAATTTAATATCATAACCAATTCGTATTCAATGTAAGATAGTTTGTGAGAGAGTGATTATGTGCCTAGTATTAGGTAACATTCTGCAAACGGTAATGTAATATATAGCAACCAATTTTTTTTTTTTTCGCACGGATATTTTACCGTAGCTATTGACTCCTGATAGTCACGCTTATAACATATTGAGCGTCCGTGTTTGGATATGTAATAGTAAGGCGCACGACTTTGGTTTTTAAATTCTATATAAACGCTTTACCACTCGAAGGTAAAAAAGTCTTAACCCCCCCCCCCCTCTACCAAAAATAAAAAAAAATTGCATTCCTCACCCCATGTCTACTGCAAATTATTCACCAGGGTCACTGGGCTTTAGAACTAAAGACCACTACTTTGAGGACGATAATTTTCTGTAAAACCTTTATGAAAGTTCGGCTTGGTTAACGGGCACCCATGGTCACTTGATGGAGCGCCGCCCTGCTCCTTATTGTCCTAGTTGCATTGTCCCTCTTACGGTCGTGCATGTCCTTCTTGAATGTCCTGACTTCCAGGACGAGCGTGTCTTGCTTTCCGACCGCCCCTCGCGGTCACCTGTCCCTTGATAGAATTCTTGGTGACTCGGATACTTTTGATATCGTTCGCCTTATGCGTTTTTGTTCTCGTATTGGCATCCTTGGTGATATTTAGCGCCCTCTGATTATTTTGCGTATTTGATGGTGCTACATAGCCTTCCCGGTTTGGTGCCTTCTTTTGATAATTACTTACTTGGTTAACGGGCGCGTTGCTGTTCTGGTACTGGCATCCTTGGTGATATTTGGCGCCCTGTGATAATCCCACACATTTGATGGTGCTAAATAGCCTTCCGGTTTGGTGCCTTCTATTAATAATTACTTGGTTAACGGGCATCCTAGTTAATGTGAGCAAAGGCCACCGCAGAATTTTACTTTATTTTGAAATGGGTTAGCCCTTCTATTTGCTTTACTATTAAAAAATTTTAATAGTCGTATTGATAATCTGGTACTGCCTAAAGTGTCGGTTAGTGGTTCCGGCAGTTATAAAATATTGTATAATGGAAAATTTCCAGAATTTTAAGTTAGTCGGGTATTGAAATTTTTCGCTAGTAATGGCGAGTAGAAGTTGGTGCAAGATTCCTTGAAAGCGCTATAACAGTTGGGGTCTAAAACCTATTTACCTACTAAAGGGCTACTAGGGTAACAATAGCTTAACCAAATATACGTTTTGTCTTGCTCTATATAATGGAACAATGTATACACTACTTGGTATATCATTACGAAGCTGAACACCTGTATCCATTCGAAAATACGTTAATAAAGGAGCAGAAAACTGACTAAAACAAAAAGGCGAGTTATCTCCATGAAACTAAAGTATGAAGAAAATTGAGTTTACTAAATCTTAAAATCCTAAAGACAAATTGACATTCTGATTGCAACAAATCTGATCTACTGGAAGCTGGTTAATCTGAGTCTCTTTTCAAACGTTCGAAGCAAGACGCTTGGGGCTAACCTCAACAAAATTAGCTGCCTGAATGCTCTAGTGTAAGGGATGAACTCAAGCTGGTCGTGGGTCACCGGAATTAATAAAAACAGCATGCCAGGCTCAAATTCTGTCCCCCAACGATGATGATCTAACACTGGCCGCCAGCTTCACAACTGCTTTCAAATCAAACGCTTCAAAACTACGGTTTCTTATAGTAATATTCACCACTATTCACTTATCTCGGGAAATTTGTCAAATTAACTATCCATAATTTGCCAATACTACGTTATATTATAAATAAGACAATCCTCCCAGAGCTTTTAAGGTTTCTCTAACCTCATGGAAATTATTTTTCTTTCACAACGCTAAGTTCGTCTTACTAGACACCACCCACACATTTAGACAATTATATATGTAATAAGAGAAACACACAGCCAAACAGATGGATTGATAAATTAATATTTAGATGGATGAACAAACTGATGGATAGTTATAGATGTATGTATTAAATAGATGTATTAAAATTTATGTATGGATAGATGTACGGATAGATATACGGACATATAAATGAACAGATTAATGGCTAGATGGACCGATGGATATATGTATTGATGGGTAGATGGCTAAATAGATGGATATATGTATTGATGGGTAGATGGCTAAATAGATGGACAGATATATAGATGGATAGTTTGATGGATGGATAGATAAATAGGATAGATGGACAGATGGGAGCCAGACTCGGAATACGCCGGGGTAACCCTTCCATTACTGGATCAATAAAGTAAAATTATTTAGTTTACTAAACTCCTTAAGAAAGGTGTTGCTTTCTGTTACCGGAGAGTTGCTGTCACAAACAAATGGCAGCAAAGCGGCCTAAATCCTGTCAAAGTTCCTATTGCACGAACCGTCTGCTTAAAAACGTCTGTTTCAGAGTCAAAATCCTGTTGCACATGCCATGTGTTCAAAGTGAGTTTGATGTTAGATTCCTGTTACGTGGTCTGTTTGTTCAGTCATTGTGACACATGAAGGTGACGGCATCTTCCAATATTGTACTGATGTCACTTTGTGCAACCTTATTTTTTTTTCTGGGAAGTATTATTTTCTGATTGTATATGCCTCCAGACTATAGAAAATGGATATTATTCCCATCAAACTTATGCTTAGACAGCTTATGGAAGACGACTGGAAAGTACCCCGAAGGCTGCTGACGTAGGAAACTATGTCGAAGCTCTTGATACTGAATCGGCAGCTTCCCTAAGCTGTCTGAGAAAAACCTCAAAGCAAGGCTTGGGGTGAATAATAGCCATTTTCTAAACTTTGGAAGCATAAGCAAGGAACACAAATTAAGTTAAATTGTGTTATATTAAATGTTTCTACTATATGCTTAGGTTTCTTACCATATAATATGGTGTAACATGATATAAATATATGCATGTTAAAGAATTCAGTTTTATCGGTCAATATTCTTCTTACGGTATTAATTTACGCTGTATGATAACTGTAATCCTTAGTCTAAATAAATGACTGAAATCTCGTTTTGAAAAAAAAATATTTTAAATGTAAAACAGCTGTGTATGTACTGTGTATTTATGATAATCAACACATCAACCATGGAACGGCCGCTCCGCTTCCAGCCCTGTCTTCTCAACCCGTCTCTCTCTTCACCACAACAACTGCTGGAGACTGTTTCTAGACAATAGATGGCGCTATTAAAGTAGTACTTGGCATCTGTTAGGAGGCACGCATTGAGGGTGTGGGAGAGGCAACGAGGTGGCCTGCTGCTGTTACCTCGTCAGTCTCTCTACTGTGCTTAGTAACTGAACTTCATCTTCCTAACTTAAAGGTGATTTAGTATGTTTTGTAAGGAAGTTTTGATATTGTCCACAGCAATAATCGGGTTATGGTAATAACTTACTTAGTGTAGGTTTTGGTTTTTTTGTATCAAGCGATTTGCATGAGATATTTAAGTTACTGAACGCATGGCGATCTGTAAAAGTCAAATAATTAAGGGAATCGGTTGACTTTTAACATTTAACACCTGTAGCAAGATATGATACTTTCTTTGAAGTCTTTATTTATTTTTTTACTAAATGCTGATGTACTCCTTTTATTTATTGCTTTACGCGACTTGCGTGACTTTTCTTTTTCCAAATGGATATACTACTTGACAAATGTTGCCAAATTTCTTGACAATTATATAAATAACTTGGAACAATTATTTTTTTCCCCATAATATTGCTAGCACAATCATATGAATTAAAAACTTATTTACGCTGCGATGCATTAACTTTGCTCACTTAAAACACTTGCATTGACAATCTACAGAATTTTCATTTAAACCTGGAATAACTTTCTAACGTAAATCGTCCTGAATTTCTATCAAACGAATCTAAATAGATTTATATAAGCATGTTATTTTGATAAATAAAAGTAACTGCTTTTTTCTCTAGTTTTCTTTAACAGGCTGACAACCAAGGTATCTCCTGGCCACTACATATATTACTAGTGCCCTAAACGCCCTTTATAGACTTACGCCCGACCACTTTACCTGGATAGTCGGCATTTTGACTTCAGCTGTGCGTAAATAACCTGGCCGTCAAAGTGACTGGATTCTCTTCCGTCCTATCCCAAACCCTTTATATTGAGCACTTAATCCTGAGGGTACATGACTATCCTTATACTTGCGTCCCCTTTGCCAGGCCTAGTGGACAGTTCCTTAACACAAATTAAAACTGTAAATAAAATTACATTTATACATTTAAGCTTTGAAGGAAATTTTTTTAAAATGTCTTAACTTATTGCCATGACTAACTCTTATTTCTTTTTTACAGATGGCTCTACTTCCTCTACTGTGTCTTTTGTGCGTCTACTCGCAGGTAAAAACTAATTTTTTTTTAATGTATATAATATATAAATTTAGTATATATATATATAAAGTTTTTTTCTAATAGAAAAAATTATTTAATAGATCCAGGGTCAGGGGTTCGTCCCTTACGGCACCCACGCTCCAATCACAGTCGTCACTCCAACAACTTCTACAGTCACTGTTCAGGTACGTAATATTTTATATATACATATATACATGTGACTTTTAAAGTGGCTGTCTGCCTAACTTTACTTATTCTCTCCAGACAACCCTGACCCACACTCTGCGGGAGACGACGACCTCTGACGTGTGGGTTACAGAGCAGACGGCGGTCACCCTGACAGTCACCCAGACAACCACCCAATGGGACTTTGTTCCCCAGTATCCACAGACGGTGACCTCTGTGATAAGGGTGACCTCCACACCGGTAGTGGTTGAGACGGCTACGGTGGGGGTCAACCCAGTGAGCACAATGGTGTCCATCTACAGTCAGTTCGTTACCACCACAGATACTGTTAAATACTGGCAGACCATAACCCACGTCGCTGTCACTCACGAGGTAAGATGGTGCCAATAATTACATCCTGTGAGGCGGCAGTTTATCTACTGCCTGGGATCAGTCTTATATTTAACTGTTTTATCTAATTGCAGATCCAGACGGTGCCTGTGGTAACTACTCAAGAATTGCTGCAGGAGATAGTAACTACGGTCACCCAGATAGTAACGACTACGGTTACCTCCACCACTGCCAGATATTATGCATAATGTAAACTCTGAAATTTACTTCAGTTTTGTACAAAATAAATGTTTTGAAGATTACGTAATGGATTTCAATTTAAAAATTTCCACTCTTAAAATGGCATGTCGTCAGAGCACCAATTTTAAATCTATTAATTATCGGATAAATATTGCTAGCAAGGCTTCTAAATTAAAAAGCCTGAAGAATTGGTATCTAAACTTTTCTAGTACATGTAATCTGTTAAAAGTTTAGGACAGGAGATTTGATGCAGCCTCGTACACTTTGCGGCCAAAGATGGTGTAGAGTATTTTGGGATCTATCCTGTGCCTCTCCATAGTCTTTATTATATGCCTCTATAATCGGGGAAGGGTGACCTAATTTGATAAAGATTGTCATTGGCTAGAGTATTAAACTCTACATCAAAGTGTTTTACATAAGTGAATAGGACCGAATAAAGCTTCCGAAGTTAATTGGCCTATAGGTTTCCCCTTATAGCGAAGGTGGAGGGGGCAAACGTTCCTAGACTCTTTAAGCTAGGAAGCGAATACCTTCAAAAGTAAATTCAGTCTTGAACCGCACAAATTTAAAAACACTGAAAAGTCTCTAACCCCATATTTGTTAGATAATGGTACATAAAACGTGGAAACTAATAATTAAAACATAAATAATAATAGACTATAAAATGACATTCCTGCTGAGACTTTTATTTAGGACTCGTTGTGATCCTCCCAGTCTGGCTGAATAATTGTCTAGCGGCCGATGTTTACCCAACAGTAAAATGTGGAACCTGGTTCTTAAGATTTGAGTGGGTGGGGGGGGGGTCGTATTCCGGGAACATTGGATTACGGATTTACCCGAAAAGATACCCGTGTTAGTGGTTGTACGAGAATGTATCAACTCTCGTAGATATAAATAAAATATAAATACAGTACACGTCTACGTGATTTGAGGGTGTAGATGCCAGGACTTGATAATTTATTGCCCAACCGGCACGGTATTAAAGACGAAGAATTTTCGTATGCGAAGATTGAGTTCATTGATATTGTGCCCACTGTTAAAAAAAAACCAATCGCCACCATTTCCATAGACAATCATAATCAACGCTGAATTAGAAGCTACCTAATAGGAAAAAAATACTCGGTTACTGAGAAGTCTAAAAATGGAAGGTTTTATGCCTGTTAAGTGGCTAGCGTACTTGTGGTCATTTTACATTGTGAATTTGCCAGTACATTATGGATAACCAGGGAAAAAACTTCAATGTTATAATTATACGAACACAAGGATGACAGTCTGGACTGGAAACAAAAATCCAATTCATAGTCGATATTCAACCTACACATCGTTTATGTACGTCCTTAACCATTATTAACTCAAGGAATTGAGAGGGGAAGATTTAGTGATGAAAAGTAGAATGGAGGGAGATTAAGGTAGAGATAAAAGATAAGAGTAAGAGCAGATAAGCTAAAAGGAAGGTAAGAAAGAATATTAAAGTTAGTTATTGAAAGATCGAAGAATATCTTACTGTTCCACGTTAAAACTTGTTTAATCTTCCAGCTTGTCACACAAGTTTGTAAAACTTTTCCTTAGACAAATGTGCGAGAAGCGAGAATAATTATTATGAAACGGACGTGGTGTGCGAGAGCGCTCTGAATCTGGGACTTTCATTGAACATGTACAAAATCCAGAAAATAACACAACAAATCTGTATTACACTGTCATATTCACATAATATTATAGCTAATCTATAGACGATGAGTAACAATAAAGTGGCTGAAGATAAAAGATATGAGATTAGTTATGATGACCACGCCCCACACTAAAATATGACGAAGACACGACGTTTCGGTCCGTCAATGGACTTGATAATGGTCCAGGACGGACCGAAACGCCGTCGTCTCATTTTCTGGTGTGTTATTTGGTCATCATAAATAATCTCTCATATTGTCTTAATATCTCAGTCACGGGCGGATGTTAGTCCGATTATCACTACTAATAACTTTGATTTTAGCTTTATACCGCTGAAATACCTTATCTTGAAGAGGGACTGAAGGCAGATAAATAAGATACTATAAATGAATTTTATAGACATGAATATTATTAGCCTTATGCGTGATCTTTATTAGCCTACTGCTTGAACATTGTGAGTCGTCACATTGAACATTGTGAGTCGTCACATTGAACAATGTGAAACGTCTAACAGAATATTGTGAGTCGTCTGATTGAACGTTGTGAGCCTACGTTGATTAAGGAGTATTTACCTTATACAAGTGAACGAAACTCATATTGAGTCATAGCTTGGAATGTTGACGGTTGCAAAATCAGTTAAACATTTAGGTTAATAAGTCAATATTTGACAATGCATTGAGATGCAGACAGCCTTTTGTTCAGATGATGGGCTGTCAATCTCTTAGCTCTCCTAATGAGACTGTTTAAAGTGTAAAAGGTGACTGTATGTTACAGTCAGCGTTAAGGAGATCATACGTGACAGTGTCAAACACATGATATCACACAGTTTGTACCTAGATAACTGTCAATGTTCTCCACAATGACCACTAAGATAACTTAATGGTCTATTAGCCTCGTTCTCACTCTTAATTTTATAAATTTTATTATATTTTTTTAAATATTTATAAAATATTGCATTATATGTTGCGTGAGGTTCACATTTTTGTACAGAATTACGTACATTTTTCTTCTATTACTATACAACATATTTCTCTCTTACTCAACGCAGGAAGCAGCCCGTAGCGGCTGTCTAACTCCCAGGTACCTAGGTGAACAGAGGCATCAATTCAAAGGATCTCTGCCCAAGGCGATGATATGTGACAGTCTATAGCAAGGCAATGATATGCGACTGTGTTAGACATGTGATATCTGACAGTTTTTTCCCCAATAGGAAAAGTCAATAGTCAGCACATAATGGCCAATTAGCCTCGTTCACTCGGAATTTGGTAATTTTTTAATAATTTTTTTAATAAATAAAATATTATGTTATGTATTATGATGTCAGCATTACAGCACAGCATTGCGGGCATGTAAGCATGACCTTGTATGTAGCAATGTGTCGTAATATCGAGGTTAGCGACCAGGCCGCTGGTGTGAGGGAGGTGTTGACGTAGTCAGCGGGGACTGGAGAAGTCAGTTGCCTCCTGACCTTCACCGAGTTAACATCATCAACTTGTCTACAGTTTAAAGGTTTTTTCCAGTTCCCCTTTTATAATAATTAAATGACTGAGTTTAGTTTTTTAAATGGGGATATGGAGTAATGAAAGTAAAGTACACAAAAGTAAAATTACTTTTGCTTACAGATGGAGGTGTTTTCTACAATCTTGGGAGCGCTGGTGGTGCTTGTCGTCGATGTGTCTTGCCAGTATGGACCAGTTCAAGTAAGTATTAAGTAATTAAATATTGGGATTTCTTGTGTGTTCCCAGTGTATGATACATATCGATAAAAAATACTCTCGTACCATTTCGACACCAGCATAGTAACCTTTACTCTTTAAGTCAGATTGACAGCCAGTCATCTAAACAAAACTAAATTGGTTAAATACTGATAAATTTACATTATAAAAAATACAATGGCGCATGCAGAACTTTCTGCTTGACTTAAAGCAACGTAATTGTTAAATCATTATTTCCTAATAAAAAAGTATATTGAAATTGCGCATTGAAGTTCCTACCCACGTCAGATAGGTTAATGATCTAAATATTTTAATCGGTAAACAGATTTTAACTAACCTAAAAAAAGTTAATAGTATCACTACATGACCGAACCCGACAAATCTTGAATATACCGTAAATTGGAATTCTTCACCCAACTTTCTTTCCTTAAATTTTAACGAGCTTTAATTTTACTTAAATTAGGTTTTATTTTCATAACTTAATTTTTACAGGTACCTGACATTGGACGCGTCGACAGACCTCTTCTCGGCAACATTATACCTATCGACAGGTTTCCTGCCCGAAACAGCGGATTTGGTTCTAGCAATCATCCTGTAGACCTTCAGACCACACAAGGCGGATCGGTGAACTTACCTCGGGTAGTTTTAAGTCAAGCCGCTCCATTTAGATTTTCCAGTCAGTCGGACATTAACTTCCACCAAGGCAGTGGTCAGGCGGCTGGAGCCGTCTTTGGACAGGGTGTAGGAAGCGGTCAGGCGGCTGGAGCAGTCTTTGGACAGGGTGTAGGAAGCGGTCAGGCGGCTGGAGCCGTCTTCGGCCAGAACCAAGCTACAGTACTCGGCAGTGGCCGGTTTAGCCAGGTCAGTGTTCCTCGCGTGACTATTGGCAGTCCGGAAGTTAGAAGAGTGGACGCACTCTTCACCCCAACTGTCACCCAAGTTATCACCATCGACCGCTGCGTCACTGTCACCGACCAGGCCTTCAACAGCGTGGCCGTGACCCTGACTTCCTTCAGCGTGCAGACTGTCACCGTGGGAACACGAGCGGTAGGTGGCATCAGTGACTGTTGTAACCATATGCTGTTAATGCATGTATGAGGCAGCTAAATTAAATGTTGCATCTCACAGGTGTTGCAGACGCCCGTCGATGATCGCGTCGCTCTCCAGACATCGGTGTTTGTCCGGCCCGGGACCGTAACATTAACGGAGGTGAAGTCTGACTTCAGGATCGTGACTGAAACTTCCCTAACCCACGTGACCCTCGCCCACACGTCCTACGTCATCAGCCAGTACACCTTCACCACCACGGCCACCCAAGTGTAAGTTTTAATTTGTACAAAAGGGAGGTTCTTCTAGATAACGATTTGGTTTTTAAAAATTTGCTAGTCTTAGTAATAAGTAGAGCTCCTAAACCTTTATCTAGTCAATAGCAGCAGGCTAATGGACGTTAAAAGATAATTTAACTTATTAATAAAAGGCTTGAATTTGTCTTCTATACCTTGTGAAAGAAAATAGTTGTGCACCCCCCCCCCCCCCTCATTACGTCCCCTAAGTCTTAGAGTTCAGTAATGTACTCTTCCTCTCGATTAGTTGGAATGTTTTTTAGTAACGTATAAGCTTTAATTTAAATAAAGCTGTATCAAAGCGGATGCTTAAATACTTAACACCATGATTGTATAGCAAGCCTAATGCTGGCACCTTCACATTTCAGACAAACATATACGGCGACTTTGGTGCGTACAAACGTTAGCACCCAGAGGACTACCATCACAAACTACCGGACTGTCACCGACACTGTCTTCGTTAACAGCGGCTACGGCTACAGACCACAGTAGTCCCTTGTACATGACTTTTATATTGACATTATACACATAATTCGCCAACCTTGGTTTAAATTTTATTACTTCCCTTCGGTAACTGGTACGAGTTTTTACTTGATAACACGAAAGTGGTTTGCCTAAATGCAGCTGGAACTAGTTTGCATAAACTCGCCAATTCTATGAATTTGTTAAATTTTGGCAAGCAATAAAGTTAATGAATTTAACTAGTTACCACAGAATTGGTTTCCCAATAACTTGTCTAGTTTAAATTTTTTTATTTTTTTTTTTTTTTAAATAACTACGCTAGTGATAACGTTAAGTTAATCGCTAGTGCAATAATTAGAATGCATCAAGAAAGTAGTGTATCACTATAAATATTTGCTGCCTGCTGAAATTACCGTGTATAAATGTTCCAATACTCGGTCACTGTCTTTAAGTCGGTGTGGTTAATACATCCGTGGCATGTTAATGGCTGTAATCATAACATAAGTACTTAATGTACGATAGTTTTAAAGAGTGTAAAATTAATGTGCCCAGTATTCAGTAGCATTCTGCAAACTGTACTCTAATACAAACGTAGCAAAATAGTTATTTTGTCGCAGGGATATCTTACCGTGACAATTGACTCCTGATAGTCGCGCTAAATAAGCTTGAGCGTCCATGTTTGGAAATGTAATAGTAAGGCACACTAAAGTTTCGTAAACTTATATTTAGATCTGGTTACCACTCTAAGGTAAGGAATGAGCTTCCAAAAAAAGTTTACTATAAATTATTCACAAGGGTCACTGGGTTCAGAACTTCAGAATGCCTTTCTGGTCGATATAATTTTCTGTAAAACCTTTGGTATGAAAGTTTGGCAGATAGCTTGGTTAACGGGCAACCCAGTTAATTTGAGCAAAGGCCACCGCAAAATTTTACTTTTAAGTTTAGCCCTTTTATTTGCATTACTAATAAGAATTCGTAAGTCGTATTGGTAATCTGGTACTGTTAAAAATAAGTTGTCGGCTTGTAATTCAGACAGTTATAAAATATTGTGTAATGGAAAATTTCCAGGTATTTAAGTCGGTCAAGTATTGCGATTTTACGCTAGTAATGGCGAGTAGAGGCATCGTGTACTGAGAACGCCATTACAGCTGGGTCTAAAACAGACTTAAGGGATACTAAGGTAACAATAGCTTGACCAAATATACTTTGTCCTGAACACGGTATAATGGAACAATGTATACAATTCTTAGTGTATATATATCATTATGAAGCTGAACACCTGTATCAATTCGAAATTACGTTAATAATGCAGCAGAGAACTGACCATAAAACTGCGATATATATCCATGAAAATAAACTTAGTCAGTATGAAGAAAATAGTTTACTAAATGTTTTTTTTAATCTGATTGCAACATCAGATCTACTGGAAGCTGGTTATCCTGAGTGTCTACAAACGTTCGAAGCCAGACGCTTGTGGCTAGCCTCAACAAAATTGGCTGCCTGAATGTTCTAGTGTAAGAGATGAACTCAAGCTGGTCGGGGTCACGAGAATTAATGAAAACAGCATGCCAGGGTCATATTCAGACCCCCAACGATGATGTTCTAACACTGGCCGCCAGTTTCACAACTGCTTTCAAATCAAACGCGTCAAAACTACAGTTTCTTATAGTAATATTCACCACTTCACTTAGCTCTGGAAAATTGTCAAATTAACTGTCCATAATTTGTCAATAGTAGCATAAGACAATCCTCCCAGAGCCTCTAAGGTTTCTCTAGCCTCACGGTAATTCTTTTCTTAAACAACGCTAAGCTGGTCTCACCAGAGACCACCCACACATTTAACAATTATATTTGTTATAAGAGACAAACTCACAGCCAGACAGATTGATAAATGAGTATCTAGATGGATGGACAGACTGATGGATAGATATAGAAGTATTAAAAAGATTAATATATAATCAATATGTATGGATAGATGTACGGACAGATAAATGAACAGATTCATGGACATGTGTATTGATGGGTAGATGGTTAAATAGATGGACAGATATATAGATGGATAGTTTGATGGATGGGTAGATAAATAGAAGGATAGATGGGAGCCTGACTTGGAATACGGCGGGGGTAACCCTTCCATTACTGGATCAATAAAATAAAGATATTTAGTTTTCTAAATTAAGAAAGGTGTTGCTTTCTGTTACCGGAGAGTTGCTGTCACAAACAAATGGCAGCAAAGCGGCCTAAATCCTGTCAAAGTTCCTATTGCACGAACCGTCTGCTGAAAACGTCTTTTCCAGAGTCAAAATGCTGTTGCACATGCCATGTGTTCAAAGTGAGTTTGATGTTAGATTCCTGTTACGTGGTCTGTTTGTTCAGTCATTGTGACACATGTTGGCGACGGTATCTTCCAATATTGTACTGATGTCACTTTGTGCAACCTTATTTTTTTTTCTGGGAAGTATTATTTTCTGATTGTATATGCCTCCAGACTATAGAAAATGGATATTATTCCCATCAAACCTATGCTTAGACAGCTTATGGAAGACGACTGGAAAGTACCCCGAAGGCTGCTGACGTAGGAAACTATGTCGAAGCTCTTGATACTGAATCGGCAGCTTCCCTAAGCTGTCTGAGAAAAACTTCAAAGCAAGGCTTGGGGTGAATAATAGCCATTTTCTAAATTTTGGAAGCATAAGCAAGGAACACAAATTAAGTTAAATTGTGTTATATTAAATGTTTCTACTATATGCTTAGGTTTCTTACCATATAATATGGTGTAACATGATATAAATATATGCACGTTAAAGAATTCAGTTTTATTGGTCAATATTCTTCTTACGGTATTAATTTACGCTGTATGATAACTGTAATCCTTAGTCTAAATAAATGACTGAAATCTCGTTTCGAAAAATAAATATTTTAAATGTAAAATAGCTGTGTATGTACTGTGTATTTATGATAATCAACACATCAACCATGGAACGGCCGCTCCGCTCCCAGCCCTGTCTTCTCAACCCGTCTCTCTCTTCACCACAACAACTGCTGGAGACTGTTTCTAGACAATAGATGGCGCTATTAAAGTAGTACTTGGCATCTGTTAGGAGGCACGCATTGAGGGTGTGGGAGAGGTAACGAGGTGGCCTGCTGCTGTTAACTAGTCAGTCTCTCTACTGTGCTTAGTAACTCGACTTGATCCTCTTAACTTAAAGGTGATTTAGTATGTTTTGTAAGGAAGTTTTGATATTGTGCACTGCAATAATTGGGTTATGGTAATAACTTTCTTAGTGTAGGTTTTTTTTTTATCAAGCGGTTTGCATGAGATTTTTAAGTTACTGAACGCATGGCGATCTGTGAAGGTCAAATGTTAAGGAAATCGGTTTAACATTTATCACAGGTGGCAAGATCTATGATATATTTTAAAGTAATTTTTGACTAAATGCTGATGTACTAGTTTTTCTCGCTTTACGTGACTTGCATTTTTTTTTTTTTTAACGTATCTAATATACTACCTAAAGTATTGCCTAATTTGATTTTACACTTATAAAAAAATAACTTTACCAATTTTTATCCCATATAATAATGCTAGAAAAATCTTGGATATTTAAAAAGGAATTTAAGCTTATTTACGCTGCGATGCGTGAATTTGGCTCACTTAAAGCACTTGCACTTACAATTTACTTTCATTTAAACCTGAAATAAAATTATCACTTCAGTCGTCCTGAATTTCGCTCAAATCTAAATAGATTCATGTAAGCATCGTCTTTTCATAACTGCAACAGAGCTTGCCCTCAAGTGTAACTACTTTTTTCTCTAATTTTCCTTAACAGCCTGTCAACCAAGGCCCCTCCTACATACTATTACACATTACTAGTGGCCTAAAAGCGCCTTTTAGGCCTACGCCCAACCACTTTACCTGGACAGTCAACATTTTGAATTATTCAGCTGTGCGTAAATAACCTGACCATAAGTGACTGGATACTCTTCCATCCTATCTCAAACCCTTTATAATGAGCACTTAATCCTGAGTGCATGGCACTCGCAAAGTTCCGTTCCCTTCCCCAGGCCTAGTGGACAGTTTAACACTAAAACGCTAAATAAAATAGCACTTGTACATATTTAAAAGCTTTGAGGAAAAACATTTTAAGTCTTACCTTACTGCCATGACTAACTCCATTTCTTTTTTACAGATGGCTCTACTTCCCCTACTGTATCTTTTGTGCATTTTCTCGCAGGTAAAAAAAAAAAAATTTACTTTTTTAGTATAATTATATATAATATAATTTATATATATAATCTACTAAATTTTATTAATAAAATTTATTTAATAGATCCAGGGTCAAGGGTTCGTCCCTTACGGCACCCACGCGCCCCTCCCAGTTATCACTCCAACAACTTCTACAGTCACTGTTCAGGTATGTAATGTTTATTATATATACATACACCAGTTATTTTTAAACTGGTTCTGCCTAACTTTACTTATTCTCTCCAGACAACCCTGACCCACACTCTGCGAGAGACGACTACCTCTGACGTGTGGGTTACAGAGCAGACGGCGATCACCCTGACAGTCACCCAGACAACCACCCAATGGGACTTTGTTCCCCAGTATCCACAGACGGTGACCTCTGTGATAAGGGTCACCTCCACACCGGTAGTGGTTGAGACGGCTACGGTGGGGGTCAACCCAGTGAGCACAATGGTGTCCATCTACAGTCAGTTCGTCACCACCACAGATACTGTTAAATACTGGCAGACCATAACCCACGTCGCTGTCACTCACGAGGTAAGATAGTGCGAAATAATCGTATCTTGTGAGGCTACAGTTGATCTACTGCCTGGGATCTTTAGTCATTGATTTAACTATCTTATCTGATTGCAGATCCAGACGGTGCCTGTGGTAACTACTCAAGAATTGCTGCAGGAGATAGTAACTACGGTCACCCAGATAGTAACGACTACGGTTACCTCCACTACTGCCAGATATTATGCATAATGGAAACTATGAGATTTACTTCAGTTTTGTACCAAATAAATGTTTGAAGACTATGTAATAGATTTAATTTAAAAAATTCCAGACT